TAGATACCGCCACCAAAGCCCCCACCGCCAGAGATGCACTTCATTCCCAATCCAAGCAATACGGACTTTGTTTATCTGCTTGGCCTAGAGACAGTTGTGGATTATTTGACCGTGAACAAGAAGGCGAACGCTGTGGCGGCGCCCTTCCGTTGCGCCCAGTGCAAGATAGACTTTACGCCCGTTTGGAAATGGGAGAAACAGAGTAAGCAAATCGAATTCTCTAAACGCTAATTATGATTAACGGGCTTCATTTGCTCCACAGCCAACAAGGAGGCAAAGGTCATCTGTGAGCAGTGCGTGACATCGAATGTGAAGAAGGCACTGAAGGCGGAGCACACGAATCGACTGAAGCAGGCGTTTGTGAAGGCGCTGCAGCAGGAGCAGGAGATCGAGCAGCGCCTGGCCAGCAGCCAGAGCAGCCCATCGCCCGTTGAAGCGCATGCCTCCAGCAACAATGCCAACAGCGTCGCCTCCGCCCATCAGCAGCAACAGCAGCAGCAGCATCAGCAACAACAACAACAGCAGCAGCAGCAACAACAACAGCAGCAGCATCAGCAGCAGCTCCATCAGCAGGCGCTGAGGGAACAGCGCGAACAGCTGCAAGCATCGCATGCCTCTGCAGCAGCCGCTTTAGTTAATTTGCCACCTTCGGTTACCGTTATACCTACTAAATGCCAGACACCTACGCCAGCACCGCGGCCCACACCGCCGCCGCCAAGCGTACAAAGTCAGCCTACGCCGCCACCGCCGCTGAATCAGTCGGGAAGTACTCCACGCTCCTCGCGTGCTGCAGCCACAGCAGCAGCGGCAGCCATTGCAGCCCAACAGGCGGGCATACTGAGTCCCGGTCCAGCGGCAGCTGCAGCGGCGCATCATCACGAGGCGTCGACATCTTCAACCGGTCGCTCCTCGGCGCGTGCCGAACGCGAACATCACCAACACCATCATCAACAGCAACAGCAACAACAACAGCAGCAGCAGCAGCAACAGCAGCAGCAGCAACAACGCGAGCAGCAGCAACAGGCGCAGAACTATGATAAATATTCAGCTGCCACGCTGGCGGCAGCGGCGCATCTCAGCGCTCTGGGCGGCATGGGCGGCCTGAATATCAACAATCTGGCAAGTTTGGGCAATCTCAATCAGCTGGGCAATCTGGCAGCACTTGGCGGCTTGGGCAACTTTGGCAACGCCTCGACGGCAGCCAACAACCCAGCTGCAGCTCTAGGAAATGCCTCGCCAGCAGCGGCCATGCAAGCCTTTCAACAGCAGCTATTTAGAGGTGCGTCTAGCGGCAGAGTTTACTGTATATTGGTATGTTATTAATATAATTTATTTTTTTTCTTACAGCACTTGGTCAGGGCCTGGGCGGTAATCCGCAGCATATGATGCAATTTGCGCCACTTCTATACACCTACCAAATGGCCATGGCGCAGGCGGCACAAGTGGCAGGTGAGTTAGCAGCGAGCGAACTGTAGAAACAATGTAAAGCTAACAGGATAATGTTAGCAAAAGTGCATATACAGTGATATTTGCAGTTAACCTAACATCCCCAAGCTTTTTAACAGCAAAATGTATATGAATATTCTATTCTTTTACATTCTGTTAAGCTAGCAGTTAGAGCTTATTTGATGCTGATTTACTGCAAAATGTCAACTAAAATTGTAGAGTTAACTGTATATAACAATTTTAGATAACAGAATTCTTTCTAATTTGGTTTTATGTATTTTACCCCACATATAGCTTTCAACAACAATAACAAGAAGAGCAGCTCCGCTTCCAGTTCATCGAAGAACTCCAGCAATGCAACCAGCTTGGCTGACATACAGCGGGCGGCGGAGCTACAGCGTCAGTATCTGCTGGAGATGATACCGCCACAGCAGCCGAGTGGACCTAGCGGCAGTCGCCAGAACAATTGGAAGGCCTAAACAGAGAACGAGGCTTAATATGAACAGTAACAGCAGCAGCAACAACAACTAACTAACTTTATAATTTTTCTTGATTAGGTAATTTTATAATTTACGCAAGCAAGCATAATGTACACGTAAATACAATGATTATACTATTTGTAAACAATAATTATAACATAATTAATTATACATAATTATACATACAAAAAGAAAAAACACATCTTCAACGTAATTGTTCGTAGTTTCCTTTTTTTGTTAATACATGTCGTGTGTTTCGCTCTCATTTTCCAAACAACAATTACGACTACAGTTACAACTAGCAATAGAAATCACAAAAAGAAAAAAAAAATAATTAAACAGAATATTACATTAATGAATGACAATTTTTAAGCTCTTATAGTAATTGGATTTATACATAATATATATGAATAACTCATTGATTGATAGTCTATAAGCAGATAGCCCCATTTTTGAAGGGGCTTAACGACCCCTCGCCCAATCTACACCCCTGAAACTGAGTTCTTTGGGGCTGTACAAGCTTAGTTTTCTCTATATATATATAGAATTATATGTATATATATACTTATGTACATGCAAATATTTTGTAATTGATTTTTAATATACGCATTTTAGTTTTTAGTTTTAAACAAATTTTTAGGGCTCTAATAAATTGCAGCAAGAATTGCACAATAATTTTAGTTTTTGCCAGTACATAAAATATTTCATAAAAATATACATACGTGCATACATTATTATACAATTTAATAATTTACTAGACTCAATTTATATGATCCCACTTCAAAGACGATAGTACTGTTATTTAGTTGATCTTAACTCGTTACAAATCCCGAATAATACATACATATATGCATCGAAAACATCAAATGCCGTTAATACAATAAAAATTGTACATAAAATATCCAAAAATATACATATATACACATATATACTATACAATCCCTAACATACCAAGAATAGAGGTTATCCAAAGTTGTCAACCATTCTCATGGATATGCCTTTCGAACAACTAAACAAAAGAAATGAAAAACAAAAAGGGAAAAATAGAAAGCACGTAATATTGACTGAAATTTAGGATATTTTGTAGTATCTCAACGGACATGCATCAGCTTGCATGCATTAAGATGGAAATTAGTCACATTTTCGGCAAAATAGGCTTAATATATATATATTTATTTATATATATATATGTATATGGAATGAGAACGGAAACGGAAACCGAAACGGATGGAAATGGGAACAGGAATAGAAACAGAAGCAGGATGAAGGTTACATTTAGGCGAATCATTCGGAACACACAAACCAAAATTCATTTTTGGGCATGCGAAATCAAATTGTGATCAAATTATAAAACGTAAACAAGAAAAGTGAAAAATCCATAATTATTTTTAGCTAACTAAGTTTAAAACATGCATTGTAATTCGAATTCAAATTAATAACAGCCGATAACAATAAGCAAAAACTAAAAAAAAAAAAACAAAAACAACCGCAACAGTAACAGCGTTAGTTTCAATGTGTATGTGTTTGAAATTCTATGCTAACTATATAAAAAAATATAAGATATGCATATAAACAGTTTTTAAACCAATCAACTTGTATTTCATTTCGCGCTCGATAACACAAACTGCGATAGTCATAATCGGACTCATCGCAGACACCAATCGCAAGCCGCCACAATGTAATGCATGCATTCCATGCCATGCTTGCACACGCGTCCATCACTAATTGAGAGCCCAACAAAGTCGCTTAGCAACGTTGCCCATCGACGGGTTAATTTAGCCAAACTAGTTAGCTTTCGGCCGCAATTATGATAAGCTTTCTATTCATTGTTAATCGCGCGTTCAGCGGTGCCAGCAGCACAGTGATGGCACAAGCAGCTAATGGGCCACGTCCGCTCGTGTTGTGCGGCCCCTCGGGTTCGGGCAAAAGCACATTGCTGAAACGTTTATTTGCTGAATTTCCGGATAAGTTTGGCTTCAGTGTGTCGCACACTACACGCCGGCCACGCGAAGGCGAGGAGCATGGCGTCCACTACTATTTCGTGGATCGGGACGTTATGGAACAGGCCATCGCCAATGATGAGTTCATCGAAACGGCAGAATTCACTGGGAATATGTATGGCACCAGCAAGGAGGCCGTGCGTGAGATCCAGAACCAGGGCCGCGTCTGCATATTGGACATTGAACAGAAGGGCGTGGAACAGATTAAGAAAACCGATCTCAATCCCATCCTGATCTTTAACAATCCACCGACTATCGACGAGCTTGAGCGGCGTTTGCGTAAACGCAACACCGAAACGGAGGAGACGCTGGCCAAGCGGCTCAATGCGGCACAGGTGGAAATCGAATACGGTCTGACACCAGGCAATTTTCACAAGATCATACACAATGTGGATATCGATGTAGCCTACGAGGAGTTCCGTGACTTTGTCGTCGAAGAGCTCAAGAAGCAGGAGGCGATGGGCGTGCGCTTCAATTAGTCTCAGCTCTTAATATAATATCTTCACTACAGGCATTTAAACTTACTCATTTAATCCGTATTTATTGTGCAATTGTTGTTGTTGTTAATCTTAAGCAGAAAATTTGTAAACAATAAAGCAAACAAGTCCAAGAGACTTTTTGCAATTACAATTTAATTGACGAACTCGAATACAAACACAATCGTAGCAAAAGGTCAAAATGTTATCAATTAAAGCAAAAATGAAAAATGTGTAGAGCCAGCACGCAATCTGTAAATATGCCATTGGGAATCATCCATTAGCCATTAGTCATTTGGTAGCGAAGCCTTTGCCCATTTGTCATCCTTCCTCATTCCTCCATCAGCTGAACACAACACGCACTCCAAGACGCCAATCCTGCTCGGAACCTTTATTGTTTTTTATTATTTAATTTTGATACGGATTGCTTTTATAATCGTGATGTAGATGGAGGCGTGCTTGATAGCTCGTGTTACCCGTTTGCAGGCTATTGACGCGATGCACCACTCGAGCGGAGCCTTCGATCTTGGTGCGGCTGTCCGCACTGCTCCACAGGCCGGCTATCGCCTCCAGTGCCAGCTCTGTTTCATCCTCCTTGTCGTCGTGCTCTGCGGATAGCGTTAGATCGATTTGACGGCGCTGACGAAGGCCAATCGATGGAGCCCCAGCCGTTAAGCCAATGCCCAAGATTAGCAACAGCAGCAAACAAATGTGAAGAGCTCGCATGTTGAGAATATACTGACCATACTGGCTGGCTGTCTGATTGATTCATGCAAATCGCTTAGCTTATCTCAAAGAGAGGCGGGACTAGTAGTAGTTGAGCTCTAAAGAGAGCAAGGGCCGAGCATAGCTAGATCGATTCAGCTCATCATTCTCTTCACTAATTCATATGCTTTATAGAAACAATTATACCTCCTCCTTCTGCTAACATACTCTAAGCCCCTACACCCACTCTAAGCATGAGCATTTTACAGGGTATACAAAGCAATTCGAAGCTAGATTTCGACCTTAGCTTTTATTGCATACAGTTCAAATAAATGTGTTAATTCACTAGACTTTGGGTTCAAGGATTTGTGCTGGGGGCCAGTCCCATTGCTTGGGTGGCGCTGTCTGCACCAGTTTCTCCCACGGCTTCCAGCCGAGCATTTTGCGTGCGAGAATCAATTCGTTCTCGGCCTGGACGATCAGCTCCTCCACCTGGCCGCAGCCCACGGACTTCTCCAATGCGCTAATATCCTTGTTCTATACAGTAAACGAAATGGATTACAATAATCATTACCAAGTTGTTAATTAACTGAGCTAACCTTTGCCACAGCATCCGCGCGCTGCTTGACTATCTGCTCGGTATATTTGCGGTAGGCGGCGTCCTGTGGCATTTTGGCTACAGCACGCAGAATCTTGCCGTACAGGGCGGACAGTGTGTGGTGCGGGTTGGTGGCTACTGCCAAGCCGGTTAATCCAGTGGACTGTAGTAAACAAGGATTCAATTATTATAATATCAAATACTCTTATATTGTACAATAAGCGCAGGCAATCGATGACATAACCATAACAAGTGCACCACTGGCATTTAAAACAGTGGTCATTAGCATGACAGCAGCTTGAAATAATTTAATATTTACCGCTTTCAATATTTTCGCCATGTTATTTATTTAAACTAAGCTGTAATTTCTCGAAATTCAGCTAAAACCAATGACAAAATATTTTGACAAAAAGTCAACAG